TAATTACAAACTCAATAAATGTCCATCAACATGGATTAGGATAAAAGCAATGCGGTTCATTAGTTTAATGTTTTAAGTAAAAGGTTACTGTTCGAGATATTAAATTTGAATATTTTTACAGAGAATTAATAACGGTATACGAGCACACAGTTTACCTAATAGTAAATATATGCTGATAGATGTTAGACAACTACATCTATCCTCTGAAGCACGACTCACACGGCCAGTTAAACTGATCAGTTGAACTGAGGTACATCCAAAACCTGACCGTGAGTGTGAAATCTTAAGTTGAAATTTGAAACCAGCCGAGCTTTATGAAACAAAATGTAGATACGTAGTCAGTCACCCGTGAGGACTAAGATGAAATGTCTCGGTACCATTAAAAAGGGTCTCAGGTTCTCTACACTCACCGTATGAAACACAACAGCATTAAGCTTTTATTTCATGCTGGTATTCTGTGACAGCGTGGCCTTTCCTCAGTCGAGCCAACCCACTCGTGCTACAACCATAATTTGCATTTTATTGCAACAGCAAATTTCTTACAGGGATTCGTCAAATTCTGGTGTCTATAGCGTTCACACATCGATTGAAGTTAACTAACAGATTCCAAATTAAATTTATGATAAAAATCACCCTTCTTGATTGTTAGTCCAGTTTTGCTTTTACCACTCTCTCCTCAATCCAAATCAAATCTTCTGATTATTTTTCATGCAACTCCTTCCAACTATATACATCACGATTAACGATTATATTTAAAACTAGCGAACTTCCCCTGGCTTCGCCCGGATGTGATCTAATAATGTGAAGTTATTTAGTCTTATGACAATCAAAGGCCATTTCTTTTAACATTTTTTATATTGTTAAAACATCAAATTTTTCGGATAAACTATAGCCTTGATCCCTCCTGGCATTACTCTATATCTGTTCGTAAAATTTCATTACCGTCGATTCAGGCGTTCCGAAAATTAGCCCAGATAACAGACAAATTTTTAAACGGTTATTTATGTCTTAATATCATGCGAATAACTCTCTGAGCTTAATAAAAACCAATTATTTCAGTATGACTGACAGACATTTCAATTTTATATAAGAGTCAAGAAATTTAAAACAGGATAAAAATAAAAGGTCGATTACACAAGCTAATACTTAGTGCACGGTATTTAGAGTTTAGATTATCATAGAGACTAATTAAACAGCTCACTATTACACTGTGCTATATACAATAGCGCTCTAACTCATTCACAACGCAATTATCGACAGTTGTTTTAACCGTGCTTGCCGCGCACCGAAGTGGTCTAAATCTTATTCAAGCCTACTTTCTTTTGGTACACCATACGATATTCAGACATATAGCCAGTTAGTATGGCTGCGTGAGCTCGGTCACATTAAATTCAGAGTAAAATCAGAGTAGCCTGAATATCGCCTGGTATAATAGGCTCAAGGCAATTAGAACAAACAAAGAAAGTACACGCTTCAATCTGTAAACTTGGTAAAAAAATTAATACAAGTTTCACAAGTGGGGTGTTACTTCTTTTTATTATAGGATAGGGTGATCACAGTCTACCTGATGGTAAATGGTTGCTGTCACCCAAAGACATCTACATCTATCCTCAATAAAGTCGCAAAATGCAGATGCGTTGTCACAGGACTAAGATGGAATGCCTCTTTTCCAGTAAAAAGTTTTCTACACTCACCATACGAAATACAGCAGCATTAAGCTGCTATTTTACGCTGGTATTTGTGAGAGCGTGGTCCTTCTCCGGTCGAGCCGACACATTCGTGCTACAACTATACTACTAATATAGCTGCAGCATGGCTCTACCACGTAGCTTCTTAAATTGTAATCTATAAAAAGTTGCTACGCAAACAAGAGTATTATATAAAATGGTTAATATTTCCTTAACTGTTTGTTTTCCGTTATGAATTCTTTAATGTTTCCCCGGTGGATTCAGATTATGTAAGCTGCAAATAAAATGAGAACAAAGTTTTATTCAGAAACTCAAAGCAGAAAGAAGTGGCAAACTGTGGCACTTAGAATACAGCTAATTTGTTTTTATTGTAAAAGTTGCCACATTCTAGCGACCACAGCAATAGTTAACATGTTCTGAGCCTACATCGGCTTAACTGATTTAGTTTTAATATAGACTAGTTGTTCCCGCAACTTCGTCCGCGTGGAATTTATTACAATTGGATTTCATGGGTTCTAATTTTATTGCGCAGAACCCTAATTCGTTTTCTAAAATAAAAGTAGCATAAGTTACTCCTTATAAAATCTGCTATCTGCCAGTGAAAGTCCCTTCAAAATCGGTTTTGCCATTTCAGAGGTTAGCAGACAATTTTAAGAATTGTTTTTTGTAATATAAATGTAAAAAGCTGTTCTTTTGACATTACAAACAGACACTTCAATTTTATTTATTTGAATAGATAACTTTAAATCCTTAACGTGTAAATGACAAAAAATTTGAAAATTTAAAATGATGTTCTTATAGTTCATTTATATACTTACTTATCATCCAACTGTGGCCCGCATGCCTTGCAAATTGCATTGTATATTTTTTGTCAGGAACCTTCGCGGATTCACGCACTACTCTCCACAGTTTCATCGTAGGCAGAAGAATGGTATAGATATAGAAAAGTGGAACACATAAAAGAGGAAAAAGCAAATATATTCAATTTTTAGACATTTAAAAATAACTATATTACATATATTTTATTTATAATAGTTATACTTAAGATATTTCGTAGTTTTCGTCGTGGTAATAGCATCGTAAAAATCACTCCTTGCGTTTGAAAAGTCGTAGGTCTTGACGGTTGAAAAATACGATTAAAGTTCATTCGCCTTGAGCCGCCCATAGACTGTTAAACAAAATCCCTTACTTGTTATTATACTAGGAGTTACTAGAGAATTCTTAAGATTTATTTAGTAATGACGATTTATAAAATTTTGTTTTAGAAATTCTTAGATTCTTCCCGAGTCTTACTTACCTAACAGGTATGCTATTTTTTGCGGAGCTGAATATATTGTCATCTATTAGAGTTCAAATTGATTTATTAATTCGTTTGAAAGATTTTTTAAAGGCAATAATAGTAATATTTGACAATATTGAAAATTTATCATCATCATGTGGTTCGAATCCGGGATTAGGCCAAAATCAGTAATTAGGTTTTTCTGTTATAAAATTCTCAATACCAGTCGGGAATCAGAAAGTATTTACTCTAGCACCTCAGAAAGCACGTAAAGCTATTGGTACTGCGCCTAATCTCTCTCCAGTCCTGTCGTATTCTCATCATCCTTCGGAATATGAGTATGAGGAAATAGAAAGTGCACTTGTGATTGCTGGCGCACACACTATTTGCTGTGTCACAGCTGTACACAGATGCACAAATGGTCTCCGTTGAGAGTGGTCACAATGACCGAAATTCGGTCTTTCATTCATTATTCATTACATCCTATTAAAGTCCCCTGCTGAACATAGGGTTGCCTTATATGAGGGATACTTGCCATATTTGCCACACTTGGCTGGCGGGTTGGCAACCAGAGATTTTTATTTTGTAATTAGTATAAGGTAGATGTTGCTGCCCTTCTCCTTGTTTGTTCCCCTCTGTCACCTCTTACGACAGCCACGTGAGGGTATGATGTAATGGATATTCTTACACCGCCACTACACGGCCAACCGTGGAATTCGGTCAGGAGGACATTATTATTATTATTACTTAATTGTTTAAAATTGGCGTTTTAGTCCTCTTGACCAATATTATCTATTTAGATATAGCGTCAGGTCAACTGGCTGCAGTCAGTGATCGCGTTAAATTGAATGAACTGCAAGTTTTTTATAAAACCTATCTTTAATATAGAAAATCGGGACACGTTTTAAAATGTTTTGTAAATAAATTTAAATTTAATTTATAATCAATTTCGTCGTTATTGAAACCCCTCATAATTCTACTGCTGAACATAGGTCTTCTCTAAAAGCTTCGTCAGAGAGTCTAAAGGCACGTCCAGAACCAACTGCATGTATATTCTAGATCGACTCCTTACATCTGCCTGTATAACCTATCTCATGAGGTCTCCTAACTTCAGCCGATACTAGTCAGCCACACCAAAATCTTTCTACCTGATCAACCTTTAGTTCTATAAAGTTTAAACTATATGGTCGACCAAATACCACTTCAGCTTACTCTTTCTTTGGACTGTGTCGGTTACTCGGATTCTATTTCTGATATACTTGTGATGGATTTTACCACAAAAAAATCTTTCTACATAGCTAGTTGAACACGGTCAACAACGAAAGCTGGCATATACTAGTTAAATTTTTATAAAATTAGATTTTTATTCAATATTAGTCCAGTTAATTAAGTTAATAAAAAACCATAAAGCATAATGATTTCTTATATTTACGCGAACACTACACATTGAATAAAACTATTTTTACGGATTTTATCGCGTTTAATTAATTTATTTTATATTCCCGACGTTTCGGTTGCTTTCCAGCAACCGTGGTCACGGGGAACTGAGGTGATTGACGTCCCGATGTCAGAGTTAAACCGGAGTACCTTCAGCTTTTTTAATTAATAATTTTGGTCCGATCTACGCAGAATGAACTAACTCTGTCTTGAAGTCTTGCAGTGGTATGCTTGGGTTTAATTTTAATTTTATGAATTACAGGATCCCAAGCAGGTGGTAGTACTCAGCCTCCCTCTCTATTGAAATTAGGATGTTTTTTTTAATTTCAATATGTGTATAGAAAAAAGACCCATACAAACCGATATTTAAACATACATAATAAAATAGTTTTATTCAACCATAAAGCAGTTTATAAAATTTAATTTTTTTTTTATTTTATTGTTTCAGGCTACTAGTAATAAATAAACTACTCACAAATATCTCCGACTCAACTGCAACGCCGGCGAAAGAGATCGTTCGTACTGCTAGCGAAAGCCGAATAATGTGGTCGGGCGCGTGCCCGGCGGGTGACCGAGTCGAGTGTACTTAGCGGGCTATGCGCGTGTGGTGGGGCCGACGGGCGCTCAGCATGCGCGTGTGCTGGCTGGCTGCGGTGTTCGCTATGCTGGCGCTACGATCCGCGGCCGAGCCCGCATCGCGCCGCTTCCCCGCCGAGTGGCGAGGCAGCCGCGAGCTCGCGCGTCCTCTACAGGATCTCTTCGAACCGGAGACGCCCACGATCACGCTACACAAGGAACGCCGTCGCATGCGCAACAACAAACGCACCCCGCATATACCATCAGAAATCGCCAGTCAAATGATGCTGAGAGCGTCGCGGTCTAGCCGCCCTTATGACGTACCACAGATTGGTAAGTAATGATTTTATTTATACTAAGGACTTCTTGAAAAAACTATCACTAGGTAATAGGAATCTGGCTAGGAGTCGTTCTGGGTAGGTACCACCCATATGCTTTTTCGAGCTAAATATAGGTCTACCGCCAAAAAGCAATGCCGGCACTTTTGTATTCAGATATGAAGGGTATAGAAAATCAGTATAATTATACGCTGTGTGGCATTACATCTTAAGGCGCGTCTCCACCAAAAATGTTGACAACATTTATGTTTCCAACTGTTAACAAATCAACAAATGTTGACGACATTTGTTTCCGAAAATGTTTCAAAATGTTGCAAGAAGCGTCTCCACCGAGGGAACAAATGTCGGCAACAAGTGTATTCCTTTGATGTTGCCGCCGAAAATGGAAACACGATTCCCGACATTGTTTCGTTTTGTTGGTAAAACTAGGTGATTACAGAAACATTTGTCGGCAACACGTGTTGACAAATGTTGTGTTGACAACAAAACTTTGGTGGAGACGAGCCATGAGTCCTCAGAGGAGACAACCAAATTATCTATAGCCTTCTTTGTTTAAAGTTTGCCGCAGGTGCCCATGGACTGCAGTAACCACTTACCATCAGGTGTACTGTAAGTTTGTATGTTTTATCAATTTAAAAAAAGAAATAAGAAGAAAGAAAGACAGAAACACTTTATTTTGGCACCTACCAAAGACAGGCATAACAGAATAATCAAATCTTTTACTTAAAAATACGTGAATTTCATAGTTTGACTTCGTACGTTAAAATTACGTCATAAGCAGTAATAAAGAATTTCAATAAAAGAATAATTTAGAAGAGGTCTATACTTAAGAGTTTGGTCTTTCACAGAAGCAAAATTGAGGTCAAACAATACGGGTATTCTTTGCCGCGCTTTAATTCACAAGGTGCTGCCGCTAAAGAAAATTTAACTAAACTAGGTAACAAAACAAAACGGATCAGGACGCCTTCATTTAGGCGTACACTACCAACGATTTAAATAACAATATTTCTTGAAGATTCAAATTAAGCTGCTCGCAGCTGGGCGAACACTTGTGTAGGAATTTTCATGTCCCAAATGTGTGCAAGTAAAAAATAAAAACTCCTAGGTTAATTTTCCATAACAATCATCCACATAATTCAAAATCCGCTAATAATATTAATCTCTATAAATAAATTAATATCTGTTCATATTTTTTGCACATACTATAAATACTCATTAAAATTACTGAGCATAATTTGATAACGTTCACGTTAATTTCATATATATTAAAAATTACAAATATCATAAACACAATAATTAAATTAGATAGCATGCCTTGTGAAATATTAATGTAAAAAAGTTAATATGAAAAAAGATATTTTTCATATTATATAAATGTTCGCTTTTGGTATAAACTTTAGGTGACCCAACCACCACCCCAGCCGCACCATCGTCGTACCCGTATTTCTCGTCGCTCACTCAGTATTTTAATGTATATTGCTCTCTTGACTGTTTTGTTTGTAAATAAATGTTCAAAGTGTATTTTAAACCGACTTCAAAAAAAGAGGAGGTTCTCAATTCGAGTGTATTTAGTTTTTAATTGTGTTACCTCAGAACTTTTTTCTATGTGAACCGATTTTGATGATTCTTTTTTTATTTGAAAGCTGGTGCTTCTCATGTAGTCCCATATAAGTTTGATCAAAAGCTGATCAGTAGTTTTTGAGATTCTATATTGATACTACTTGTATTAAATGTCAATCAGAATAGTTTTTGTGATAGTTCATGTAATCAAATTGTGTAACCTAACCTAATATATATCTTAATTACATCGTAATAGGTAGTAATAGGTATCTTATCAATCTAAATTTTATTTTATTCCATATAGTGGCAGCCACTGCCCCATATCATATATCCGCAATGTTGTGAGAGTCGACAAAGAAAAATGAAACAGGATGTGGGTAGAGACATATTTTTGTTTTGATAACAATAAAAAATAGAGATAAACTGTGATTGCCAACCTGCCTGCCCAAGAAAGCTGTCTATGTGGAAGCCTTATTAATGGTTAATCAATGAACACTGAAAGTCAGGAGAACTTACTTATTATGCTTGATAAATTTATGTTGTTATTAGTTAAATTAAATTATACTTGATAACGTTATATGAATTTTAATTATGTTGATTTATTAATATGGTGTAACAATATCCACTACACGTATCGTCCCATGGGTGTCGTTAGAGTGTCAGAGGGAAACAAACGAGGAGATAGCTAGCAAGGAGCATCTTCCTAAAACAACTAAATCTAATAAATTGTCAACCCGCCTGCAAATAACCACCCATGGGGTCATCTATGAATGAGGCCAATTTTCAGCAGTAAACTCCTGATAGGCTCTAGCGGTAACGTTAATTGCTTTTTTTTATAGGATATGAGTGACAAACGAGCACACAGTCCACCTGATGGTAAGTGGTTGCTGTGGCCCATAGACATCTACATCTATCCTCGATTACGAATCAAAATGCGGATGTGTTGTCACCCATGAGGACTAAGATGGACTTCCTCGTTTCCAGTAGAAAAGGTCTCCGGTTCTCTACACTCACCATACGAAACACAGCAGCGTTAAGCTGCTATTTTACGCTGGTATTCTGTGAGAGTGTGGTCCTTCCCCGGCCGAGCCGACCCATTCGTGCGGCAACTATACCAATAATATAGCTTCAGCATGGCTCTACCACGTGCTATTTTATTATTTAGCCAACCAAGTGTTATGCACAATATTGTTATGCCAAGTGTGTTATGCAGATTTATAATAATACTAAAGGGACAACCTTTATTTACGAATGTATTGAAAAGAAACAAATAATTGCTAGAAGGATCCTTTAATCAAAATATTTTAAATTTTGTACTCTAACAGTAAATCAGATAAAATGTTGTTATTTCTTTTTTATTATTTCTTTGCACTGATTAACTATTGTGCTCATTTTCTTCTCGTTATCTCGAGGGTAATAGCTGAAAATCAGTGATTACTCTCTGAGCAATATTAATCGCTGAGCTAGGACCCATTTATCAAACTGCATCACACATCGTTTTTTTTAACAATGGTAGAGCCATGCGGCACCATTTGCTGTCGCACGGATGGGCCGGCTCGAACCGGGGTGGTACAACGACCTCACAGAACGCAAGCGTGAAGTAGAGATTTACCTCTGCGTTTCGCTTGGTGAGTGCAGGTGGCCGGAGGCCCTTTTTACTGGAAATGAGGCATTCCATCTTAGTCCTCACGGGTGACAACGCATCTACATTTTGATTTGTAATAGAGGATAGATGTAGATGTCTATGGGCCGCAGTAACCACTTACCATCAGGTGGACTGTGTGCTCGTTTGTCACCATTATCCTATAAAAAAAACAAATGCCCGTTTAGATTTTAATATTTTGTAAATTTTTTTTCGTAATAATATGTTACTTTGTACTTAGTTTAGTCACTAAATTTACGTGTGTGATTGGAGAAACAAATATATGCTTTATCTATCTATCTATCTTTTTAAAAAATGTACATCTATACTAAAATAAGGTTTTTGATAATTAAAAACCAAAAAAAAAATGAAACATTCTCTAAAAACACCTCGAAAGTTAATAATACTCTGCTAATACACCTATTCCTATCGAAAATGAGATTATCAATATCTTTATTTAAAAAAAATGTTACTCCTACGCTAGGATTTCCTCCTATGTCGTAAAAGGAGTATACATACATAAATTTCACAAGTGGCCAGTCCAGGGTCAACAATTACGTTGCTGCAATCACTAAGTCACCACTCGAGCCGTATATAAGTGAGCATTATTATGCATGAGTATGGAATCTTGGCCTATCTGCAACCGGTTCAATCCACAACGTGTGGACTACAAGTTGATCACGGTTTTGCAGCAGTAAAAACTGCCGTGTACCCCAACGAGGTCAATCCTCATGCCAAGGTATATTACTACCGCAAGTAGGTAGCTTGAAATTGATGGATTTCGTAGACAGATTTTACGTCCAAGTTTTTGGCCGAGGATTCACGTACAACAATGTCTTAGACCAATTGCGATCGTTTCAAGCCAAACGTTCGTCTGCATATTCTATTGCTGTCCTTACTTGCGCTTTCGCTATAGTTTGTTAATATGGGTCTTGTTTTACGGTGATAGCCAGTCAAATCCCAGTGCGCTGCTTAGCCACCTCATCAGTTTCCTGATAGCAAACCCACAATACGACGCTAGAACTGTCGTCAATGGCATTTGCTGATGCTTCTACTGTATCGCGCACACTTCCAGCTTGCCTTTGCTCTTAACATCTCTTCTCGGGCTAAATGGGGACTTTCATTGTATATTAAAAAAAACATTATTCAATCAATTAACAAACTTGTGAAAAAAATAATAAAAAAAAGCTTGTGAAAAGACACGGAGTGGAGAAAATTTCATCGTAATAAAGTTAATTCAATTTTACCGCTTCCATCAGTCTTTTCAATTCAAATTATAATTTGAATTTAGAAAACCGAAAAGTAATGTCTCAAAATCAAATTGAAGTTTTATTTGTTACGCAGCCAGTACATTCAAAGTTATGCTAATAAAATCTGTAATAGTAAGCATAGAGTAACGCGGCCCGCCAGTGGCCCGTGTTGCTCTATGTTAGTAAGACCTTATGACAACGTTAATACATTTTGTATGTAGTAATTCGATAGTTAGGTAATTTCCCTTACAGTTCATTCTTTAATTATAATTTTTTTTACGTGATAAAGCGATGCTCCAGCTATTTTATGGTTGTAACACGAATGGATCGGCTCGACCGGGGAAGACTCACGATCTTACAGAATACCAACTTGAAATAGCAGCTTAATGACGCTGTGTTTCGTATGTTGAGTTTTAAAACCAGACCAACCAACCTTTGGGGGACAACACATCTGCATATAGATTTTTAATAGACGATTGTCTATAGTTAACATTCGTTGGCAAATAAATAAATGTGCTGAACTAATTGTTTTAATTTTCAAGT